CCTGGAAATTTCACTCTATTCTTACTGGTGCACAACCTATCCCAGCACATTGCTTGTTGGGAATAGGAAAAAATTTTGACGTTATTTCAGACGTATATGCAGCTTCTGAACTAGGGGTCATTGCACAAAATACATATCGTTCGTCGTCTGCTTCAGTCGGAAAATTTGCAGCTGAAGGAATGGAAATCAAGGTCGTAGGATCTGAAGAAAGGATGCTTCCCCTTGGAGAGAATGGCGAAATTCTAGTTCGTTCATCTCCTTCCTTTAGAGGATACCTTAAGAATGAAGAACGAACCAAGGAAGCACTGATTTCACTTGGATGGTATAAAACTGACGATTTTGGTCACATCACGAGAGATGGTCGATTGGAAATACTTGGTAGGGTATCTGACGTCATGCTGATTTCGGGGTTAAAGGTCTTGCCCTCTGCTATTGAATCGATCATTAAGAAACATCCAGATGTTAAGGAAGTTGTCGTTTTCCCCATTAAGGATGTTAAACACGCAGACGACATTCCTTGTGCTGCCATTGTTAGAAAGGACGGAGCGACGGTAACCGAAGAAGCTCTGCGCGAATTTGTCCGCAGGGATATGAACACTGACGAAGAGGCTGTTTTTCTCGAAAACATTTACGTTCCTAAATACATTGTTTTTCACCGCATTGGTTTACCAAAAACACAAACTGGAAAAATAGACAGAAGTGCAACAAGAAGGTTATCGATTCCTCTCATCAACAATGAATAATTATAAATATTGTTGTCTCCTGTGATGAAAATAGGCCGACATCTTTGAAAAAAAAAACAAAAAAAAACTATCTGCCATTCTTGATAAATCCCAATTTATATTTAAAATTCAGATGAGTTACTTTACGTGTAGAAGCAAAGAACTTTCTCTCGTGAAAAATAACATACGTATGTGTATCACAAAAAGAAGTGTCCATTTTTTAATGATCATTAATTTTGTATATCAATATTAAAATAATGATATTATTACTAGTAATATATAGTATATTTAAAAAAAAAAAACTAGTACATATATAATTAATAAATTTAAATGCAAGCTTTTCTTTGGTTCTTAATTGAGATTTGAGAAAATCCTAGTTAGAATAATCTAACTGTGTCTCGGGACAGGCCCTCACCATCCGGGTCCTTAGGACATTTATCATTTTAACGATAGAACATTCTATCTAAGAAAATCCTACTGAAGCAATGACCGGAGCGGACATGTGAAGGAAAGAGATTTGTCTTTCATGCGAAGTGTCCAATCCCATCTCACCTCCAGCCTTAATAACGTTTTTGGCGTTTTAACCCCTTTTTGTGTTTAATCTTGTTTGTAATATTACCTTTGAATAACACGATTTCAAATATTTCTCGAAAAGACGCGAATTTTGTGACATAAAAGTATATTTATAAGGTGGAGTAAGTCCTTGCTCCTTGTTTTTGTCAAGAAAAAAAATTATATATTAATTTTTTAAGAACATTTTGAAGAGATACTTTCAAAAAATATGGAGATAGAAAAATTGTATTATTAGAACGAAGAAATGATAATTTTTGCCATGTTTTGGTGAGTGCATGCTATTTCATAGACGAATAATTTTATCACTTGTAAGATTACTGCAAATTTTGGAGATTTAACAAGAAGTGTGCACTGAAATACAAAAGAAAATTGTGTCTCAATTTAGATTTAATTTTTAACCTACTTATTTGTCGTACCATAGGCATTTTTGCCGCTATGTTTCCCATCTTCTTTTTCAAGTTTCCTTTGGCAAGTGGTACTGTGAAAATATACTTGAAGAGAACATTTTTCAAAGAATTCAGAAGTATCAAATTTTAATGTTAAGAATATATCAATTGAAGGTCAGAGCAAAATTTAGGATGTAATTATTGCTACATGGTGTTTCCAAAATATATTGTGGTTTTCTTTTAATTTTACACCCAGAGAAGCATCATACTGTAATCCCAATGCTAATCAAATACATATGAAATAATTCTCTTTCTCCAGTATGACTGAGGCCCTTTTTTATGGAAATCATGCTAAAAAAATAATAAAATTGTAGAAAACATACGTATTTATTCACAGTACATGTACATACATGTAAAATCACAGAAGAACGCCTAATAAATTTAGGGGACGACCATTTGATTCTGAGAGGGGGGCTGGCAGATTTTGAAAATAAATAATCTGTCCTCGAAAATGTTGAAAATTAAATAATCTGTCCTCGCCTGGGGCAAGAAAATGAATAATCTGTCCGTCCGTCCTTGATTAGTGCTAACCCCCCCCCCCCCCCCCGAGTTTTGGAGTTTGGCCCGTTTTCCCCCTTTTTTCTTATTGCTTGTCAATAAATAGAATAATGATCCTTGATTAAGTCTCTTTTTGTGGCAAGATTTTAATCAGACTAAAACTGTAGGAGGTGTAGCCTTTAGAAAGAATTTTACAGAAATTTCGATTTTAGTTACCATGGCAACATCATTCACCAAAATCGAAAAAACGATAAAGGCAATTATGTATCTCAGTGTAGTCTACTTGTATGCCACATTATTATATTAAATTCAGACCAAACTGTATGAGGAGTAGCATTTTGAAAGTATTTCACAGAAATTTCTATTTATAGTAACCATGGCAACACCATTCATCAAAATCAAAAACCGATATATAGAATTATGTATCTTAGTATAGTCTACTTGTGTGCTAAGTTATATTGAATTCAGACCAAAACTGTAGGAGGGGTAGCGTTTTGAAAGTATTTTACAGGAATTTCTATTTTTAGTAACCATGGAAACATCGTTCATCGAAATCAAAAACCAATACACAGAATTATGTATTTTAGTGTAGTCTACTTGTGTGCTAAATTACATTGAAAGCAGACCAAAACTGTAGGAGGAGTAGCGTTTTGAAAGTATTTCACAAAAAATACTATTTTAGTAACCATGGCAACACTGTTCATCGAAATCAAAAACCAATAAAGAGAATTATATACCTTAGTGTAGTCTACTATTGTGCCAAGTTATATTGAAATCAGACCAAAAATGTAGGAGGAGTAGCGTTTTGAAAGTATTTCACAAAAAAATCTATTTTTAGTAACCATGGCAACACTGTTCATCGAAATCGAAAACCGATAAATAGAATTATGTATCTTAGTGTAGTCTACTTGTGTACCAAGTTATATTGAAATCGGACCAAAACTGCATCAGTAGCGTTTACAGACAGACAGGCAGACAGACGGACGACGGACACCTTACTATCGCATAAGCTCTTCTGATTTCTGACCAGTAGAGCTAAAAATGTTTATACATATATTTTAACACGTCCCCAATTTTATATACCGTTGTATATATAGCGTTAGATTTTACGAATGGGATCGCTTTTTGATGTACATGTATTTAAATTTCACAGTTTATATAATTGAATGACTTTTTATTGTTGTGTGGTGTGTTAATTTATACAAGTTTTGAAGCCTTGGTTATACATCCATGTAATTACCTTATTTAAATCCGTGCTAGTCACCTGTATAAGATTAAACAAGTTGCATGTCGCCTAGAAATCAAAAGCATGGAAATATTTTAAAATAAGACAGATCAGTGCAGCTTATGGAAGGCAAATCCATAAAAAATATTATCATGTTGTATAAACTTAAAATTTTGCATTATCCTCTCCTAGTAAATTCAAAATTTACAACATGATAATATTCTCGCATTTATTTTCTCACGTGCTCCTTCTGAACCATTCCAACTTGTTCAGTCTCATAAGAATGTTTTTTTTTTTTTGTTTGACAGGATATAGTACATCCAAACTAGGTTGTTTTCGTCGCATGTTGAATTTTTTTTAAAAAATTGAATTATATTAAATTTTTAAATTTAATTATTCAAGGACATTTTCTTAAAGAAGATATTATGTGTATTTATAATTGTACATGACGTTCATATCAGTACATTTGTGTTTTTATAAAAAAAAATATACTGGAAAATGAAAATTGTAATGACGTTACATAAAATACGGTACTATTCAGTATATACATGTTTACCACGAGCAAAGATGTCCCGAGATCTAATGAAAAATCATCAGAGTAACCGGTTACTCGATCGGAAAAGTAAGCGAGTAACCGGTTACTAAAAATCGTCCGATTTGACAACACTAACATGAAGTAAAAGGTTCCCGGGCTGTCTTCGGCCTCACGGCCTCAGGCAAACATTTGGGTCTTGGCATGGGTCCGACAAAACGCATGTTGCCCTCGAACCCAGTCGATAAATGTACACATATGATGTATAATTATAATGACGGCGCATCGCGTTTAATTTAATTTTTTTTGGAGGGGGGGGGGCTCAAAAGTAAATAAAAGAGATGTATGAACTACCATGAAGTACTTAAGTAATATCGTTTCCGGTACACTTAAACTTGATATACTCCAGTAGGTTGTATACATGTAAGTATACAATATACAACTTCGAGCCCCCCCCCCCCCCCCAAAAAAAAAATCACCACAAAACCCGCCTAATAATGATTTCTTTAAATGCTTTAAAAAAACTCCATTGACTCTAATATAACATTTGGCCAGTTGATCAATTCACATATTCATTGACCCTTGCAGCGTGCATCGGTTCATGTCTAGTTTTATACATGTAATGTCACACTACATATTTCTCTGTATGAATAAAGCTAGGTCAAAAAAGGTCACTGACATTGTATAAAACGAACGACTGTAAAACATGTACACTTGACAAAGATTATTTCCTGTGATAAAATTTGTACAGTATTTCATACCTGTAGTATTCTACAATCTCCCATTTGTAATAAAAGTGAGCTACAAGTTAAAATCTTTTAGAAATGTCATATTGAGAAGAAGGTTTTAAAAACTCATCATAAAGAAATAGCCACAGCATATAATGTAAAACCACCTCTCATAATAAATACCCACAGCATATAATGCAAGTTCATAAATGAAGACCCATCACATTAGGCAGCTATGGCATTCCGTAGATGTGCTCTAATTTGCACAAAAATAAAATGGAGAACGGGCTTAGTTATATACGTTCACAAAAACCTATCAAGGCACCTTACACAACCATACCAAAACTTGTTAAAAAATGGGCATCTCTAAAGCCAGAAAATGAAGCTTGTGTTTTCTACAATCAAAACTTGACAAGGAAATCGATTACATACGGCCAGCTTTATGAGAATTCCATCAAACTAGCAAAAGGACTTGTACATAAAGGGATTGGACGAGACGATATTGTGGGTGTTGGAGGAAATAACACACCAGAATGGCTGGTGAGTACTTTTGCAGTACAGCTGGCAGGTGCCCGTCCAATTCACTTTCCCTTCTTAGACAAGTCAGGGAATGGAATAAAAGACTTGTTGAATAGCGTTGGGGGATGTTCAATGTTGATCTTTGACCCAGGACATGAGGATAGCCATTGGAAAACAATTCAGAATCTTGCTACAGTTGATCCAGAAACGGGCTCTGTAAAGAAATCAGAGATAATCTGTCTTAAGTGGATTGTACTAGAAAGTCCCCTGAGTGCGTCTGAAAAGTTCCTTACGATATCGGACCTGTTCTGCGACGAAGTAATCACTTTACCAGAAATAGACCCGGAAGATACCGCGAGCATTTTAATAACGTCAGGCAGTACAGGACTTCCAAAGGCAGTAGAATGCAGTCACTATTTCTTTATTCAAAATGCCCATAAGCTTGACGATCTCATGGACACTGCTGGAATATTAGAGAAGCAGGAAGTACCCATATACTTAAATGATCGGCCGTTCTTTTGGATTGGGGGGTATCCTTGCTGGTGCGCTGCCACAGGAGGAATACGTGTAACTCTTTCAAGTACGCTTGCGTTTTCATCGATAGCTGACATGGTTTATTTTTCTACCAAGATTGCAGTGAAAGAAAAGGCAAATATCGGATTCTTTATCGTTCCATTTCTTTTGGAAATGATTGCCATGGAAAATATTCCCTGGAAATTTCACTCTATTCTTACTGGTGCACAACCTATCCCAGCACATTGCTTGTTGGGAATAGGAAAAAATTTTGACGTTATTTCAGACGTATATGCAGCTTCTGAACTAGGGGTCATTGCACAAAATACATATCGTTCGTCGTCTGCTTCAGTCGGAAAATTTGCAGCTGAAGGAATGGAAATCAAGGTCGTAGGATCTGAAGAAAGGATGCTTCCCCTTGGAGAGAATGGCGAAATTCTAGTTCGTTCATCTCCTTCCTTTAGAGGATACCTTAAGAATGAAGAACGAACCAAGGAAGCACTGATTTCACTTGGATGGTATAAAACTGACGATTTTGGTCACATCACGAGAGATGGTCGATTGGAAATACTTGGTAGGGTATCTGACGTCATGCTGATTTCGGGGTTAAAGGTCTTGCCCTCTGCTATTGAATCGATCATTAAGAAACATCCAGATGTTAAGGAAGTTGTCGTTTTCCCCATTAAGGATGTTAAACACGCAGACGACATTCCTTGTGCTGCCATTGTTAGAAAGGACGGAGCGACGGAAACCGAAGAAGCTCTGCGCGAATTTGTCCGCAGGGATATGAACACTGACGAAGAGGCTGTTTTTCTCGAAAACATTTACGTTCCTAAATACATTGTTTTTCACCGCATTGGTTTACCAAAAACACAAACTGGAAAAATAGACAGAAGTGCAACAAGAAGGTTATCGATTCCTCTCATCAACAATGAATAATTATAAATATTGTTGTCTCCTGTGATGAAAATAGGCCGACATCTTTGAAAAAAAAAAACAAAAAAAACTATCTGCCATTCTTGATAAATCCCAATTTATATTTAAAATTCAGATGAGTTACTTTACGTGTAGAAGCAAAGAACTTTCTCTCGTGAAAAATAACATACGTATGTGTATCACAAAAAGAAGTGTCCATTTTTTAATGATCATTAATTTTGTATATCAATATTAAAATAATGATATTATTACTAGTAATATATAGTATATTTAAAAAAAAAAAAACTAGTACATATATAATTAATAAATTTAAATGCAAGCTTTTCTTTGGTTCTTAATTGAGATTTGAGAAAATCCTAGTTAGAATAATCTAACTGTGTCTCGGGACAGGCCCTCACCATCCGGGTCCTTAGGACATTTATCATTTTAACGATAGAACATTCTATCTAAGAAAATCCTACTGAAGCAATGACCGGAGCGGACATGTGAAGGAAAGAGATTTGTCTTTCATGCGAAGTGTCCAATTCCATCTCACCTCCAGCCTTAATAACGTTTTTGGCGTTTTAACCCCTTTTTGTGTTTAATCTTGTTTGTAATATTACCTTTGAATGACACGATTTCAAATATTTCTCGAAAAGACGCGAATTTTGTGACATAAAAGTATATTTATAAGGTGGGGTAAGTCCTTGCTCCTTGTTTTTGTCAAGAAAAAAAATTATATATTAATTTTTTAAGAACATTTTGAAGAGATACTTTCAAAAAATATGGAGATAGAAAAATTGTATTATTAGAACGAAGAAATGATAATTTTTGCCATGTTTTGGTGAGTGCATGCTATTTCATAGACGAATAATTTTATCACTTGTAAGATTACTGCAAATTTTGGAGATTTAACAAGAAGTGTGCACTGAAATACAAAAGAAAATTGTGTCTCAATTTAGATTTAATTTTTAACCTACTTATTTGTCGTACCATAGGCATTTTTGCCGCTATGTTTCCCATCTTCTTTTTCAAGTTTCCTTTGGCAAGTGGTACTGTGAAAATATACTTGAAGAGAACATTTTTCAAAGAATTCAGAAGTATCAAATTTTAATGTTAAGAATATATCAATTGAAGGTCAGAGCAAAATTTAGGATGTAATTATTGCTACATGGTGTTTCCAAAATATATTGTGGTTTTCTTTTAATTTTACACCCAGAGAAGCATCATACTGTAATCCCAATGCTAATCAAATACATATGAAATAATTCTCTTTCTCCAGTATGACTGAGGCCCTTTTTTATGGAAATCATGCTAAAAAAATAATAAAATTGTAGAAAACATACGTATTTATTCACAGTACATGTACATACATGTAAAATCACAGAAGAACGCCTAATAAATTTAGGGGACGACCATTTGATTCTGAGAGGGGGGCTGGCAGATTTTGAAAATAAATAATCTGTCCTCGAAAATGTTGAAAATTAAATAATCTGTCCTCGCCTGGGGCAAGAAAATGAATAATCTGTCCGTCCGTCCTTGATTAGTGCTAACCCCCCCCCCCCGAGTTTTGGAGTTTGGCCCGTTTTCCCCCTTTTTTCTTATTGCTTGTCAATAAATAGAATAATGATCCTTGATTAAGTCTCTTTTTGTGGCAAGATTTTAATCAGACTAAAACTGTAGGAGGTGTAGCCTTTAGAAAGAATTTTACAGAAATTTCGATTTTAGTTACCATGGCAACATCATTCACCAAAATCGAAAAAACGATAAAGGCAATTATGTATCTCAGTGTAGTCTACTTGTATGCCACGTTATTATATTAAATTCAGACCAAACTGTATGAGGAGTAGCATTTTGAAAGTATTTCACAGAAATTTCTATTTATAGTAACCATGGCAACACCATTCATCAAAATCAAAAACCGATATATAGAATTATGTATCTTAGTATAGTCTACTTGTGTGCTAAGTTATATTGAATTCAGACCAAAACTGTAGGAGGGGTAGCGTTTTGAAAGTATTTTACAGGAATTTCTATTTTTAGTAACCATGGAAACATCGTTCATCGAAATCAAAAACCAATACACAGAATTATGTATTTTAGTGTAGTCTACTTGTGTGCTAAATTACATTGAAAGCAGACCAAAACTGTAGGAGGAGTAGCGTTTTGAAAGTATTTCACAAAAAATACTATTTTAGTAACCATGGCAACACTGTTCATCGAAATCAAAAACCAATAAAGAGAATTATATACCTTAGTGTAGTCTACTATTGTGCCAAGTTATATTGAAATCAGACCAAAAATGTAGGAGGAGTAGCGTTTTGAAAGTATTTCACAAAAAAATCTATTTTTAGTAACCATGGCAACACTGTTCATCGAAATCGAAAACCGATAAATAGAATTATGTATCTTAGTGTAGTCTACTTGTGTACCAAGTTATATTGAAATCGGACCAAAACTGCATCAGTAGCGTTTACAGACAGACAGGCAGACAGACGGACGACGGACACCTTACTATCGCATAAGCTCTTCTGATTTCTGACCAGTAGAGCTAAAAATGTTTATACATATATTTTAACACGTCCCCAATTTTATATACCGTTGTATATATAGCGTTAGATTTTACGAATGGGATCGCTTTTTGATGTACATGTATTTAAATTTCACAGTTTATATAATTGAATGACTTTTTATTGTTGTGTGGTGTGTTAATTTATACAAGTTTTGAAGCCTTGGTTATACATCCATGTAATTACCTTATTTAAATCCGTGCTAGTCACCTGTATAAGATTAAACAAGTTGCATGTCGCCTAGAAATCAAAAGCATGGAAATATTTTAAAATAAGACAGATCAGTGCAGCTTATGGAAGGCAAATCCATAAAAAATATTATCATGTTGTATAAACTTAAAATTTTGCATTATCCTCTCCTAGTAAATTCAAAATTTACAACATGATAATATTCTCGCATTTATTTTCTCACGTGCTCCTTCTGAACCATTCCAACTTGTTCAGTCTCATAAGAATGTTTTTTTTTTGTTTGACAGGATATAGTACATCCAAACTAGGTTGTTTTCGTCGCATGTTGAATTTTTTTTAAAAAATTGAATTATATTAAATTTTTAAATTTAATTATTCAAGGACATTTTCTTAAAGAAGATATTATGTGTATTTATAATTGTACATGACGTTCATATCAGTACATTTGTGTTTTTATAAAAAAAAATATACTGGAAAATGAAAATTGTAATGACGTTACATAAAATACGGTACTATTCAGTATATACATGTTTACCACGAGCAAAGATGTCCCGAGATCTAATGAAAAATCATCAGAGTAACCGGTTACTCGATCGGAAAAGTAAGCGAGTAACCGGTTACTAAAAATCGTCCGATTTGACAACACTAACATGAAGTAAAAGGTTCCCGGGCTGTCTTCGGCCTCACGGCCTCAGGCAAACATTTGGGTCTTGGCATGGGTCCGACAAAACGCATGTTGCCCTCGAACCCAGTCGATAAATGTACACATATGATGTATAATTATAATGACGGCGCATCGCGTTTAATTTAATTTTTTTTGGAGGGGGGGGGGCTCAAAAGTAAATAAAAGAGATGTATGAACTACCATGAAGTACTTAAGTAATATCGTTTCCGGTACACTTAAACTTGATATACTCCAGTAGGTTGTATACATGTAAGTATACAATATACAACTTCGAGCCCCCCCCCCCCCCAAAAAAAAAAAAATCACCACAAAACCCGCCTAATAATGATTTCTTTAAATGCTTTAAAAAAACTCCATTGACTCTAATATAACATTTGGCCAGTTGATCAATTCACATATTCATTGACCCTTGCAGCGTGCATCGGTTCATGTCTAGTTTTATACATGTAATGTCACACTACATATTTCTCTGTATGAATAAAGCTAGGTCAAAAAAGGTCACTGACATTGTATAAAACGAACGACTGTAAAACATGTACACTTGACAAAGATTATTTCCTGTGATAAAATTTGTACAGTATTTCATACCTGTAGTATTCTACAATCTCCCATTTGTAATAAAAGTGAGCTACAAGTTAAAATCTTTTAGAAATGTCATATTGAGAAGAAGGTTTTAAAAACTCATCATAAAGAAATAGCCACAGCATATAATGTAAAACCACCTCTCATAATAAATACCCACAGCATATAATGCAAGTTCATAAATGAAGACCCATCACATTAGGCAGCTATGGCATTCCGTAGATGTGCTCTAATTTGCACAAAAATAAAATGGAGAACGGGCTTAGTTATATACGTTCACAAAAACCTATCAAGGCACCTTACACAACCATACCAAAACTTGTTAAAAAATGGGCATCTCTAAAGCCAGAAAATGAAGCTTGTGTTTTCTACAATCAAAACTTGACAAGGAAATCGATTACATACGGCCAGCTTTATGAGAATTCCATCAAACTAGCAAAAGGACTTGTACATAAAGGGATTGGACGAGACGATATTGTGGGTGTTGGAGGAAATAACACACCAGAATGGCTGGTGAGTACTTTTGCAGTACAGCTGGCAGGTGCCCGTCCAATTCACTTTCCCTTCTTAGACAAGTCAGGGAATGGAATAAAAGACTTGTTGAATAGCGTTGGGGGATGTTCAATGTTGATCTTTGACCCAGGACATGAGGATAGCCATTGGAAAACAATTCAGAATCTTGCTACAGTTGATCCAGAAACGGGCTCTGTAAAGAAATCAGAGATAATCTGTCTTAAGTGGATTGTACTAGAAAGTCCCCTGAGTGCGTCTGAAAAGTTCCTTACGATATCGGACCTGTTCTGCGACGAAGTAATCACTTTACCAGAAATAGACCCGGAAGATACCGCGAGCATTTTAATAACGTCAGGCAGTACAGGACTTCCAAAGGCAGTAGAATGCAGTCACTATTTCTTTATTCAAAATGCCCATAAGCTTGACGATCTCATGGACACTGCTGGAATATTAGAGAAGCAGGAAGTACCCATATACTTAAATGATCGGCCGTTCTTTTGGATTGGGGGGTATCCTTGCTGGTGCGCTGCCACAGGAGGAATACGTGTAACTCTTTCAAGTACGCTTGCGTTTTCATCGATAGCTGACATGGTTTATTTTTCTACCAAGATTGCAGTGAAAGAAAAGGCAAATATCGGATTCTTTATCGTTCCATTTCTTTTGGAAATGATTGCCATGGAAAATATTCCCTGGAAATTTCACTCTATTCTTACTGGTGCACAACCTATCCCAGCACATTGCTTGTTGGGAATAGGAAAAAATTTTGACGTTATTTCAGACGTA